AGTAGTAGTAGCAGCAGGAGTAGGAGTAGTAGTAGTAGTAGCAGCAGCAGCAGTAGTAGTAGTAGTAGTAGTAGTAGTAGTAGTAGTAGTAGTAGTAGTAGTAGTAGTAGTAGTAGTAGTAGTAGTAGTAGTAGTAGTAGTAGTAGTAGTAGTAGTAGTAGTAGTAGTAGTAGTAGTAGTAGTCGTAGTAGTCGTAGTAGTGTTATTAGTAGTAGTAGTAGTAGTAGCAGTAGTAGTGGTAGTAGTAGTAGTAGTGTAGTAGTAGTAGTAGAAGTTTAGTAGTAGTAGTAGTAGAGTAGTAGTAGTAGTAGTAGTAGTCGTAGTAGTAGTTGTCGTAGTAGTAGTAGTAGTGTAGTAGTAGTAGTAGTAGTAGTGGTAGTAGTAGTAGTAGTAGTAGTAGTAGTAGTAGTAGTAGTAGTAGTAGTAGTAGTAGTAGTAGTAGTAGTAGTAGTAGTAGTAGTAGTAGTAGTAGTAGTAGTAGTAGTAGTAGTACGTAGTAGTAGTAGTAGTAGTAGTAGTAGTAGTAGTAGTAGTAGTAGTAGTAGTAGTAGTAGTAGTAGTAGTAGTAGTAGTAGGGGTCTTGCGAACCTTCTGAGAAGGCTTTCTCCTTCTCACTTCCCCCTCGGGCTGGCCGCCGATCTCTTGCCCTCCGGACCAGCGCCGGGCTGAGAAAAACCAGCGCGGAGGCCCGAGAGTCCGCATATGGCCACGCCGCCCGTTCTTGATCCAGCATGCCTGGCGGAGGACGACGCCGGCCTCGGCCGGCCTCTTCTCCTCCGTGTGCAGGTAGTCCAACAGCATGTTAAGCATGGACGGGACCTTAATCCCACCAGCCCTTTAGGGCGTGAGTGGTTCAGGATGTCTCCTCTCACAACTCCCTTCTTCACCTTCGGGGAAGGGTTTACCGCTTCCCCCTACCCCTTGCCCCCTGGAACTGGACGGGGGGGGGTCGCGAACTGGACGGGGGGGGTCGCGAGGCGTTAGATTGTCCAAGATGGCCTCAGCGAGAAGGCCCAAATCATGGATCTTATTAGGATTTGGGTCACGTTTTGACCTCCTGGGGGGATGCCGCAAATTGAGCACGGCTCCTCCGTTGATCGATCTCCTCCAAGCTGACCCCCGAGGCTCCCAAGGTTGCTCCAAGACGGCCCCAAGCGGTGCCCAGGAGGCCCCAAGAGGCCCCCAAGAGGCGCCCAAGACGCTCTAACAGGCCTCTGCGAAAAGGCCAACATCATTCATTTTACCATGGTGTGGGCAACATGTTGGTCTCCTAATCAAGGGGGCCCCATCCTAAGATCGATCTCCTTCAGAGTTGTCCCAGCCCAAGAGGACCCGAAAAGCTCCCAAGAAGCCCCCGAGATGCTCTCACGAGGCTCCCAAGAGACTCCCAAGAGGCCCCAGTAGGCCTCCCAGAGGCACCCAAGACGCCCCAAGGGGCCTCGGCGAGAAGGCCAACATTAATGATGTTACTAAGCTCTTGGCCACATGCTGGGCCCCTGGGGGGGCCCTAATCAAGGATCCCCTCCTTCGATCGATCTCTTCCAAGATGGCCCCAAGATCGCCCCTGAGGCCCCCAAGGGTGCCCCAAGACGGCCCCAGGAGGCGCTCAGAAGGCCCCCAAAGGCCCCCAAGAGGCGCCCAAGATGCGCCCGAGAGGCTCCCAAGAGGCCCCCAAGAGGCTCCAAGAGGCCCCACAGAGGCACAAAAGATGCCTCAAGAGGCACCCGGGACTGCCAAGAGACTCCCAAGACGCTCCAAGAGGACTCCAAGAAGCTCCCGAGCAAGAATTACCTGGACGATGTACCCAGCTCGTGCGCAACGCGTGGCCAGAATATCTGGGTAGACCTTAGAAGGGGGTGATAACGTGCCGACGTGGTACATGTTCTGCGAACGGTATTTGGGAGGCCAACGAGGCGCGCGACCCGCAGGACACCGATCAGTGGACAAGGACTTGATGAATACGATTCGCTGGTTCTCTGGATCGAGGGGGGAGAGGGGCAGGACTAGAAGGAGAAGGCGGACAGGGAGCTTACAACGTAAGCGGGGCAGGAGCAAGAGGGCATGGCACAAGCACGAGAGTGACGACAAAAGACGGTCAGAGGAAGGATAGAGATGATGCTTCGAGGTGTGCCAGCTATCAGCCCTCGAAAATGGCGACAGTTTCGCAGTTCGCCCCCCCCCCCCCCCCCCAGGGATTGAGAGGTCTGATCTGAATCTGCGTAAGCCCCTCACTATGCTGCGCCTCCCAGCAGCAGCCCTCGAAAGTGGCGACAATTTCGCAGATCGCAGCTCCCCATGGGATGGCGAGGTCGAATCTGAATTTGCGTAAAATGTCACTCCTCTGGAGCCACAGCAACCCTCGAAAATGGCGACCATTTCGCAATTCGCAGCCCCCCATAGATGGCGAGGTCCGGCTCTGATCTGCGTAGCACCGCACTATACTGGGCCCTCCAGCAGCCCTCGAAAGTGGCGACAGTTTCGACGATCACAGCTCCCCCGGGATGGCGAGGTCTAATATGGTCCAGGTGTGACGACACTGTGCTGGCCCCCTTCACCAGCCTTCGAATCGGCGACGGTTTCGCAGATAGCAGCCCCCCAGGGATGGCGAGGTCTAGTCTGAGTCTGGGTATGGCGACACTGTGCTGCCCCCCCAGCCAAAGTGGCGACCGTTTCGCATATCGCAGCTTCTCAGGGGATGGCGAGGTCTAATCTGAGTCTGGGTATGACGACGCTGTGCTGCCCCCCCCCAGCAGACCTCGAAAGTGGAGACAGCTCGCAGATCGCAGCTCCCCAGAGATGGAGACGTCGAATCTGAATCTGGGTATGGCGACACTGTATCGCCCCCCCCCCCCCCAGTACCCCGAAAAAGGCAACCTTTCGCAGATGCAGCCCCCCCCGGGATGGCGAGGTCTAACATGATCCAGGTGTGACGACACTGCGCTGGCCCCCCCAGCAGCCTTCAAAAGTGGCGACGGTTTCGCAGATCGCAGCCCCCCAGGGATGGCGAGGTCTAGTCTAAGTCTGGGTATGGCGACACTGTGCTAGCCCCCCCCCAGCCAAAGTGGCGACCGTTTCGCAAATCGAAGCTTCCCAAGGATGGCGAGGTCTAGACTGAGTCTGAGTATGGCGACGCTGTGCTGCCCCCCCCCCGGCAGCCCTCGAAAGTGGAGACGGTTTCGCAGTTCGCAGCCCTCCAGGGATGGAGACGTCGAATCTGAATCTGGGTATGGCGACACTGTGTTGCCCCCCCCCGAGCCGCCCTCAAAAGTGGAGGCATCTTCGCAGATCGCAGCCCCCCCGTGCATGGCGACGTCAAATCTGAGTCTGGGTGTGGCGACACTGTGCTGGCCCCCCCAGCAGCCTTCAAAAATGGCAACACTTTCGCAGATCCCCCCCCCCCTGGGATGGCGAGGTCAAATGTGGTCTGGGTGTGGCGACACTGTGCTGGCTCCCCCCCAGCAGCCTTCGAAAGTGCCACAATTTCATTGATCGCAGCCCCCCAGGCATGGCGAGGTCTAGTCTGAGTCTGGGTATGGCGACACCGTGCTGGCCCCCCCCCCCCCACAGCAACCCTCGAACGTGGCGACCGTTTCGCAAATCGCAGCACCCCAGGGGGGAGGCCTGAGGGGGGCGGGAGGTGGAGACCACAATGTTGTATTCAAAACATTTCATAACGAGAACCCAACAACGGAAGGCTGGGAAACAATGGCCCTGACGATGTGCCCAACCCTTGCGCCACGTATGGCCAGAAAATCTGGGTAGGCTTTATACGGGGTGATAACGTGGCAAGGGTGTTTATGTTCTGCGAACGATCTTTAGGAGACTCGCGAGGCGCGCGACTCGCAGGATACCGATCAATGGCCACGGGCTTGAGGGATATGATTCGTGAGTTCCCTGGGTCGAGGGGGAAGAGGGGCAGGACTAAGAGGAGAAGGCGGACAGGAAGTTTACAACGTAAGCTGGGCAGCAGCAAGATGACATGGCAGCAGCACGGGAGTGACGACAAAAGACGGCAAGAGGAAGGATAGAGATGATGTCTCGAGGTCTGCCAGCAATCAGCCCTCGAAGGTGGCGACAATTTCGCAATTCGCACCCACCCCCTGGGAATGGAGAGGTCGAATCTGAATCAGCGTAAGACCCTCACTATGCTGCGCCTCCCAGCAATCCTCGAAAGTGGTGACAGTTTCGCGGATCGCATCACTCCCATGATGGCAAGGTCGAATCTTAATCTGCGTAAGGCGTCACTCCTCTGGAGCCCCCAGCAACCCTCGAACATAACGGTTCGCAACCCCCCACAGATGGCGAGGTCCCGCTCTGATCTGAGTATCACCGCGCTAAACTGGGCCCGCCAGCAGCCCTCGGCAATGGCAGCAATTTCGCGGATCGCAGACCCCCAGGGATGGCAAGCCTTAATCTGAGCCTGGGTGTGGCAACACTGTGCTGGTCCCCAGCGGCTCTCGAAAACCCGCCGACCCTGTCGGCGTGTGCGAGGGGCTTGGCTGTTCGAGTCGTCGTCTCCGTCGGTCGTCGCCTCCGTCGTCCCCTTTCCCTGCAGCTTCCTTCTCAAGCTCGTGAGCGAGAGAAAAATCTAGCAGTGTCGTAATCGAGTCGAAGGGAAGCCCCTTCCCTTTGATCCCTTCCCCAGGGGGGGGGGTCCCGGGGGGGGTCCCGGGGGGGGTGGGGGGGCAGATTCGTTTTTCCTCGGGCGGCCTAGAAACCTCGAAAACACTCCAAATGAGGTCCGAATGCCCAAGATGGCCCCCGAGACGGCCCAAGAGGGCCCCGAGTCGCCCAAAGATCGGCCGAAAACGCCCAAGATAGCCCCAAGACCGTCCAAGAAGCCTCCAAGACGTCCCAGGCCCCCTCCAAGAGACCCCCAGGAAGCCCCAAGAGGCCCCCACGAGGCTTCCAAGCGGCCCCTAAGAGCTTCCCAAGAGGCCCACAAACTACCCCCAAGAGGCCCCCAAGAGCGCTCGTCGTCGTCGTCGTCGTCGTCGTCGTCGTCGTCGTCGTCGTCGTCGTCGTCGTCGTCGTCGTCGTCGCCATTCAGGGTCGGCGGCACCGGCCGTAAGGCCTTCGCAATAGCAACACTTTCGCAGAAGATCGCAGGGATGGCGAGGTCTAATGTGGTCCTGGTGTGGCGACACTGTGCTGGCCCCCTAGCAGCCCTCGAAAATGGCGACCCTTTCGCAGATCGCAATCCCCCCCCCGAGATGGCGAGGTCTAGTCTGAGCCTGGGTATGGCGACACTGTGCTGGCGCCCCCCAGCAGCCCTCGGAAGAGGCGACACTTTCGCAGATCGCAGCCCCCCAGGAATGGCGAGGTCTAGTGTGAGTCTGGGTATGGCGACACAGTGCTGCCCCCCCCACGGCAGCCTTCGAACGCGGCAACCGTTTCGCAGATCGCAGCCCTATAAGGATGGGTATGGCGACCCCCCAGCAGCCCTCGAACGTGGCGACAGCTTCGCAGATCGCAGCCCCCCAAGGATGGCGAGGTCTAGTCTGAGTCTGGGTATGGCGGCACCGTGCTAACGCCCCCACAGCAGCCCTCGAAAGTGGCGACAGTTTCACAGTTCGCCCCCTCCCCCCCAGGAGTTGAGAGGTCGAATCTGAATCTGCGTAAGACTACCACTATGCTGGGCCTCCCAGCAGTCCTCGAAAATGGCGACGGTTTCGCAGATCACAACCCCCCTGGCATGGCGAGGTCGAATCTGAATCTGCGTAAGACTTCACTCCTCTGCAGCCCCCAGCAACCCTCGAAAATGGCGACCGTTTCGCAATTCGCAACCTCCCAGAGAAGGCGTGGTCCCGCTCTGATCT